GGCTCCGGCATCCACAGCGATTTCTAAACCGCACTCCAGCCCTCCTAGAGGAGGTTCGCAGCACTCCTCGAGGTTCCCAGCCCTGGGTCGGAACCGCAGCACCCGAAGGCTTCGCTTAACCCAGATCCCCGCAGGGTCAAGCAAGTCTGACCAAAGTAGAACGATAAAATTGTGGCCTGGGGTCTTTAGCGAAAAACGTTTGTTCTTTAAAAAGCGCACAATGGATAAAACAGAGCACGTCAGATCTTTCATTTAGGAACTGCACCTGGGAAACTGCACCTGTTGGCCAGTGAGCCTTGCCTGACCCTGTCACGCCACACCTCTCTTCTTCATCACCAAGCAGAACTGCATCAAGTTTAGGTTCTTCTTTTCAGTGTGGGATCCACCCAGGTCACATTGCATTGTATTTTTTTCCTCATGCTGTTTCTGTAATATTTTAAATCATTTAAAATCCCAGCCTAAGTATGAATTCACTTATAAGTACCACCCATAAAGTACAACATGTTTTAAGTCTATCAGAAAAATAAGCCGAGCACGTGAAGCAATAGCTCTTCAAATAACAACATTTGTTGCATTTATCTCACAACCCACCTACGTGACTGTCCTTCCTGGCAGGCAACACCAACAGTTTTGGCACATGACACAGATTTCTCTGATATTCAGGCTGTGCCATAAATGTCTGGAAGCTGCAGCTAGAAAAAGAAATGTTTTCAGTTCCCTGACTTACAGAGCACACAGCCCAAATGTGTTACAGAGCACACAGTCCAGTGCCTCTGGCCCCAGGTCAGTGCTCTTCTGCTCTGAGCTGCATCAAAGGCAAGAGTTCAGGAAAGCAAATAGACAGAAAGGACAAGGACCAAAGCAGATTCGTTGTTCTCCCCCTTGCACTCAGGGATCACAGCCACCAAGCACTGTGACTGTGACCTATTTACTTGTGGCCCGGGGATGGTTTTTAAGCTTTCACAGCACCTGCTGAGCATTAAATGTCCCCCCCACACACCTGACCTGGTCGCTTACACTGGTTAAAGATTTACCTAATGCTATTTACACATGAAACTTGTGTTTCAGACATGAATCCCGACACATAACTTGCAGGGCTTATGCCTCGTGGTACTCCACGTTCCATGCTTTAAAATAGATCATTCCCCCAAAATACCTCTTCGAGGGTTTCATCTCCTCATGACTCCTATAAGCCCTTCTGAAACCTGTGTCAGACAAGTCACTGCCTCCTGCTCTGTGCTATTCACAAGCCTTCAGATTTCCCACAAGCAGGCAGTGTTCTGTGGAGGCGAGCAGCAGATTTATGTTAGATCCTGCATATTTATAGATGTTTAAAGACAGTGTCAAGCAAATCAGTCTCATCCCACTCCGATGTGTTTTCTGCACCCCGTGTAAAATCAGCTCAAGGTAACTGAAGTGCAGCCAATAAACAAGTGCTGAGGAGCACACGAGTACAATCTGTTGGAAGGCCAAGTAAGGAAACAAGAACTTCACAAGGCTGACCTGCTTCTGAAACGTCCTGTGAACTCTCATGTTATTCAGAGGAAGCAAAGCCAGCTCTTTGTAAAATTTCAACTTGCTGGGGTTGTGTAAACCTTTACAAAACCATCCAGGAGGAGCAGCAGCACCTGCAAGGTTTGCTTCACATGGTACCAAGCAGCTCCTTATGCTGAAAGAAAGCAATAAATTACCCCAATTCACAGGTCCTGTCCTCGGCTCCTGTATTTTAATTAGCTTCAGCACCCTGTGAAACAAAACCAGTTACCTCACAAGAAGGCTTTGATAAATGGGTCTCCTGCATTTGAGGGAACTGAATACAACCCAGTCAAGATCTTTAACACGAAGCCTGTGCAAGTGGTATTTATGTGGTTTGCATTTATCTTTTATGTAAGTAATGGAGCATGCTAGACAGCTTTCCACACAGTTTTGTAAGATGTGACATTTCTCATGGTAAGCAGCAGTATTTATCATATTAATACCAAAGCCATCAGTAACAGTTTAAGTATCTTTTTTAATTTTCTTACAACCACTTAAAACTGTCATATAACACAAACTTTTGTACACTATTTACAGACAAAACAAGCAAAATATCCATCCAAAATAGTTTTTAAAAAAATCCTCTGATTAAATTGTTACACCTGCTCAAACAATGGTGGGACTTAATAGGCATATTTTCTTGTGCATGTTTCTCTTCCATGTAGTATTTCAGTCTCACTGCATATATATATATTTTTTTTTTTAAAGTTAAAGAAAGATAAAACAACAAGCAGAAGGGACACAACACAATATGCATTTAAATCTTTGTTTAAGAACAAGCAGCTAATTAAAAAAGGCAAAATACAGGAAAAGTGCATCAGTTCCAATGAGTTAGTATAAGAAAGAGGCCCACAGGTGGGGAGCTGGTACCCTTTAGGGCAGAGTCTCCTAAAAGACCTCTGATTGTCTATAAGGATTATTTAAAATTCCTTTTAAACAGAAATAATAATAAAAAAAAAATGAAAGAGGAGAGGAGAAACATGACACCTCCAGATTATTTTTTTTTGCCATGAGGTTTCTTGGAAACTGGTGCTTAACAACTTTCAGAGTGGGCGAGGATTCCTCCGTGCCCGGAGCTCACTGTCCATTGCCGAGCTGTGCCCGGGTCAGGCCTCTTCCTCTCGGACTGTGCAAGGCCAGAGGGCTCCCACAGACACCGTGTTTGTGCTCAGTCAGTCAGACCTACTGCCTCTGAATTTGGTCAGTGCAACACCTGCTTGCTTCCATGGCTTAAAGCTGAGCCAAACACTGCTGGCTTTGCACCCAAGAGAGTAAAACTTTGTCTTCTCATCAAAAGTCCATTTACGCATCTGGTGCATTTCAGAACAACAGATGCCACTTGAGGAAGCGACTGTGGAGACCAAGTGTCATCAATCTTAATTCATTTTTGTTGTGTTTCCTACAGATTATTATTAATTTTTTTAGAAAAACACGTAACAATAAAAGAGGCTTGTTGTCTCTGGTGTTCCCAAGTCCCATTCTAATCTCTCACCCAAAAGGCTGCCTTTGAAAACAAGGCTACACACATGTTGGGGAAGGGAGGCAGCACTCTGAAATAAGGGTTCAGCACACAATCCCTTTAAAGAGGAGCCTTCATCATACACCTGAAGTCTCCTGACCGAGCCTATGTCTTTGTGCTTAGTTACTTTTAGGTAATTTGAGCTCACAGTAGGCAGTAACCAGTCTGCCACTATTGTGACAGGACTAGTTAAGGAGTAGCTTTGTACAGGATCATCGTATTTTTGGCTTTCTGGTAAGGCTACTTCATCTAGTAACAACAGATTTGGTCCAAAGGTATCCAGTCTCCAGTTTGAGCTTGATAGTTTTGAAGCCTATTCCGTTACATTCAAAAATCTCACGAGCCACTTGGCTTTTCGCAAACCATGTACCGAGTCTTTGTACTTTACACAGAAGAATGGAGTGCTCAGTCCAATTGACTGTAAATATATTTACAATTCTGTGGACCTAGCAGCTAAATACTCCTTCCCTCCTTTAAAGCATCACTGGAATAAAGAATAAACACTAGCAAATCCTAAAGCAACAACAAAATACTGCTAAAAGTTGTGACAGAGAAAGTAATCTTAAAAACCACTACCGAACTCTGTATGTACTGTTTCCATTAATCCCAGGAGAGACTGCAAACACTCCTGGAGTACTGTACAACACAGAAACTAATCTGCCTTTTATTTCAGTCCTCAAAGAGGAACTTTCAGAAATGTTTCGAGTTAGGAAAAAAGTAGTCTTCATTCACCAAGATCAGTGCTGTACCTCTGCTCTTCTGGAAGGACTGCTTTCAGTTTAGGATGGACTGCAAGCTGCTCATGCTTTGGGGGATAATCCTACCACATGAATCTTCCATGACATTTCTGGAGGTTGAATACTTCTCTATTACAGAATCCTTGTGCTGGTGCAGAAAGCACACCACAGTAACCAAACAAAACCTTTCTGCCTAACAAGGCTAAGCTTAGCACAGCACAAGTGGCACCACCAGGTTTCTAAAGCTGTGGTGTGCAAACCCAAGACTGCACAACACGTATGAAAATATGACAGGCCAGAATACAAACCCTCAGTGGGTCAAGCCAAGGGTAAACTCCCTTTACCAGCCCCAGAAACAGCACACAAGGCCCAGTGGGGAGTTCATTTTCTTGTGCTGAAGATAATGGCAAGACACCACTGCCTTTCTCCTGGACTCCAGCGTTGTCGTACGTATGGTGAACGATGTGGTAGAGGATGGCACAAATTCCTGAAACCCAAATTACTGCAATCCCAGCAATTCCTGCTGGTGAAACATTGCTGGCACCCAAAGCCAAGATTCAGCCACCAGCTAAGCAAAATCCAGTTTTGAAGAAACAGAGCGACTAAAGCCCCACGTGAGCTGATTTCAAGTCATGTTGGAACAAGTTGAACAAATAAGTGCAGTTGTGTCATCTGCCACGCATAGAGAAAGAGGAACTTGAAACAGAGTCAAGTAGAAACACCATCCATCAAGATAAAGCCCCAATTATCCCTTTTAAATCCAGCAATAAAACAGAGTGCATTTTTTTCCCCAGGAAACAGAGTGTACAGTACCCGTGTGCAGCATAAAAACATTTCACAAATAATGAAAACATCCCTTTTGAAAATCTCAACAAAAATAGATCCCATTGGGACCAGACTGTCAGTGCCTCCCAAAACAAGGCAGAAAAATCCAGCCTATAAAACATGCCAAAGGTGACCAGTAAGTGTCTCACTAACATCTGAAACTGCTGACTGCTTTATTTACTGAGAAAAAGAAGTATGACATTTGTATTTAAAACCCTAGGCACCATCTTAACAGGTCCACTAAATTACACTTTAAGCTCTATTCTCTCCTGACAGCTACTTAAAAAGATATGTATCTGTCCATGGGGAAAGGTGGAAGCAACATCTCTTGGCTATGCAGGAGGCATCAGGGCAAGAGAGCTCTGGAAATCATATTGCACTGATCCAAAAGCATCACCTTCCAGCCCAGAAGTTCTCTGCTGGTCAAATTTCTCAAGACAAGATGCTGACAGTAAAGCAGCAGTGTTTCTTTTAAATTTTTTTCAGGCCTAATGGCTTATCACTGAGCTTGTCCTAAGGGAATAGAGTACAGGCAGATGACCTAAGCACAATATGAAGAGCCAAAACATCCATTTACTGGCCACATATCTGGTGTGAGGAGGAAGAAGGAACACTTTGATTTCAATTTAATTACGTTTTCAGACTCTGCTTACAGCATGGGAGAAAAATTGTCCAAGCTATACACTGCCCTCCCTCCCTCAGGAATATTCAGCTAATAAACTGTCTGGTATTTACATTTCGATTCTGGAACAGGAAAAAAAAATCTGATTATTTATTCCTGTAAATAGTTCTGCCTTGACTAGGCAGTTATTCTAAGGGGCAAAGGAAGTAAAGTCCAGTCACTGAGCTTTGCTTAGTCCAAACAGTTTTCCCTGGAGGCAGCTCCCCCTCAACACCAGTGTGGCAGGTACAGACACAGGCTGTGCAAACTCAGCTCTCAGCTTACAGACACCTCCTTCCCGAATCCTGCAGCTCACAGCACAGGAACGGCCGATCCCACTGGGCCTACGGGACACCCCGATCCCTCCTCTGACCAGAGTGGCCCGTGCTCATCACAAGCCAGTAGATGTGTCATTCCTAAACCAATTCCTAACTCACACACCTTTGTATGCCAGGGGCTTCCTGCACAGCTGGATTTGAACAGGAGATAAAGGGCCATGGCTGCACACATCCAGCTCCTGCCCGTGCCCCTCCAAGTACTGTGAGGAAGGCAGTGGCTGAATGCAAGCCAGCAGAAACTTAACGCTCATGTGATGCAGATCTCGAGCCTGACACAAGTTTCCCCACACCTTTAATGGAAAGTAATGTAAGCCCTGTTAAAGTGTAAAGCACAGGTCTGCAGCAAGTGGCTGACTGGGTTTTATTACCCTGGAAAATTAAAATCAGCAGTTCATCCTACGGTGAGCCTACTGATGGACCTAAGATGTTCCTCTGGTCCTTTTCCTTTTTTCTAATTAAAGCAGACAAGTCCCTTCCCAACCCACCAAATTTTCACCAAGTCTGATCCTGAGCATCTGCAGATAGTTAAAAATCCAAAGTCAAGCTCACAAGAGTTTCCAGTATGCAAACACTGGCAGAGCTTTCTTGCAGTCCTCTATTGATTGCAGTTTCCTTAGTGTATTCTCTAAAAAGATGTTCAGATAGCAAAGCAAAAGTCTGCTGACAGGCTCTATGTACATGGCCCAATTGTTTGCTAGAAGAAAAAGGAAATAACTTCACACAATTAAAAAAAAATATAAAATAATCTGACAACCAAAATATAGAAAATGCAGAGGCACTTCCTCTTTCCTTCCTTATTTCCTACAGCCTGTCTGTAAGAGAAGTGCAAAAATAATTACGTTTTCTGACATCTGAAGAAAAAGGAAACATCCATGTTACGCCTACACAGGTTTCACTAAAGCTTTGGAACAGAAGCTCTGTATGCTGACATTGGTTTGTACTCTGGACATGCCCACAGAAGCCAGACTGCTGTGCAGCTACAGAAGATTTGTCCAGAAAGAATAGTTCCCTCCCTTTTTAATTCATCACTTCTACTGTTCAGGCTACAGAGGTAGTAAAAACAAAACCGAAACCCAACAACAAGGAAACCAAAAAAATCCAAAATAAACAAAAGAACTTCAAAAGGAACCACACTCTTGCTATACTGTACATTCAGAACCCTGTGGCCACATTGTTGTCCTAACAATGAACAAATTCATTAAAAAACTCAACATTAACACACGAATGTGCAAAGAGCACATTCCAAAGTCAGTGCTGTGGAAAAGCAAGTGTTCGTCCACAGGGAGGGAAGGGGATTCTGTGAGACATCAGGGACAGAGAAAGGTTATTTCTGGCAGCCTACATGCTAACGTAAACAGGATCCGATTCGCCTTTTAAAGTTCCGTGCCAACAGAACTATTGAAATGTCATTTCCCATGAGAGGAGACTTTTCTGTAATCATTAAAAAATACATTAGAAAAAGGGAACCATAGAGCAAGAGACTATTGTGTTCCCGAGCTGGCAGCTGGTAGAGTAGCCCCTGTGTTTGCATTGGCATTTTGCTCCAGATGTTGTCTTCCTTTTGTCAAAACAGAAAAATCGAGGCTGACACACACTTTTAGGTCACCAGGGCCTCAGTTTAACTTCATTTGGCTTCACTTGCTAGAGAGGAAGGAGCATGTTTTTGTAGTTGTGCTTCAAAGGTCCACTTCAACTTGGCTGCTCCTCAGTTAGCAAACTGCTGGTAGAAGGCAAGTTTGACCCTCTCAATGTGATGGCAGAGTTTAATAGCTGGTCCAAGCTTCAAGTCCATACACTCTTGAACAGTGGGCAGAGTCAGCAGCAGCAGGGCCTGGCCATCGATTTCCTGTCAGGAAACAAAATTCCATAGTGACTTTGTATTTTTATTCTCCTTGCTCCTTCAGCTTTGATTTGCTGTAATTTCAGATTCATGACCGTTTGTGAATTAGATGTTTCTTTCATGCTACTCCAAGCAGCTTAAAAATCTCTCTCACAACAAATTAACTCCTTTCTTAAAACGTCAGCTCAAATTCACTGGCTGAGGGACAGAGTCTCATGAGATGCTATTGCAAAAAAATCAACCTAACAAAAGAAACCAAGGAAATTTCATGCAGAAAGTCATTTTACCCAACCACTGCATCTTTCTATAAAAACAGAGGTTCTACAAGGTCAAGTAAATCCATCACTACAAACCATAGTCATCATTAGTTCTAGTACTACAGTTTTGATAGCCAATGCTTCTTATGGCAAATTTTAAGCAAGATGCAAAAAAAATGTTGACTCTGTTTTGTACTCTGGTTGTCATACTAACACAAAAACATTCACTCCTGCAATACAACACTGTGATACCTGCAGTTACTCTGTAAAATAGAAAATATTTATCACATGGAAAAGGTAACATAAGTGGTAAAACTTTATCTCCTAGAAAACAGGCTCCCGCCTTCCTGGTGCTTGGCTGTAGGCATTCTTTGTAGTTTTGGGATTCGGGTACCCCACAGATCAAAACACCCTTCACTGAGTGCTGAGAAACCTGAGAAACTCTGGTCATTCCCTCAGCTCTCCTCTCCCAGACTGCTGTGGGTTGCACAGGTGTTTGTTTCCTCAGAACCCTCCTGAAAAATTCAATCTAGTTTCTTCTCATGATTCCCCAGAGGATAAGAAGCAAAGTGACAGATTCGACATTTTAACAGACAGAAAATGATACCTGGTCAAGGAAAATTCTCGCCAGTGGAGCACAGTCAGTGGATTTGAGGAATCGTACCACATCAGCCACGCTCCACTCCAGAGGGTTACTGTCCAGCTGCAGCTTTTCAGCAACTTCCATCTTTATGTCCTAGACAAGCCACCCAGCGCAAAAAGAATTCCCAGAATATTACATATGCCATGGACCAACGCTCCCATCTACTCAAACTCAAACATTCAGCTGCCAACTAAAGGTCTAATAAGAGCTCAAACTGCAGAGGTTTCTTGGCCAGCAGAGATGTGCAGAACAGCCTTCTGCTCAGGGCAGAAGACAGTGTTACAGTCTGTCAGTGTTACAGACAGACAGCAAGGATCTAAACCCGAGATTTGGTCCACACCATGTCACTGCTCTGGTTGAACCAAGAGGAGTGCTAACAGCTGGAAAATGGGAAAGCTCACCATTCTGTCTACATCTTTCTGCCTAGTTCCTTATTACAGTCCTGCCCTGTAATAAAAATAATGATTTTTAATTACTCTGTAGTTTCACAGTGCCCTTTATGGGTAACAGTGTTTTATGAGAACACATGTACAATGGTTAACACTCCCAAGGTATTTGTGCTTGCCCAGCACTGAGCAAGCAGAAGCAGAATTCTAAATTCCTGGTTACCTTTGGCGAAGGAGGTTTATTTTCATCATCAGAAAAGGAAAAGGTCCTGAGCTTCCTCTTCCGCTTGTCTCGGTCCTGAGCCAGGGAATGAGACAGTTCACTCTGTGTAGGAGATGACGACAGTGATTTCTTCTCTGATACCTCGGATTCTTCAAGCAGTTCATCTTGGTGCTCTGAGGTACTGTCCTCAGTCAGAGATTCCTCATCCACCTCATCCTGGTCATCCTCCTCTTCTGCCCCACTGCCCTGAGAGGTTCGGAAAAAAGAAAAAAAAGGCAATGAAATGAAAAACAACGGGAAGTTTAGGACAAAAGCTGCAATTGCCACCCGCTGCCAGGTGTAACCCGAAGTCACAAGGAACTAACATTTGCTGTTTCAAGGGAAGCTGGTCAGAGATCCCAGCCCGTGCCCATGAATGCTGTTGGCAGTGTCCTACCTGGGGAGACCCAGCTGGGGTGTTATCCACGGACGTAGAAGAACGTTTTTTCTTATGAACAAAAAAATGTTTTCGCCTCTTCCGTCTTTTATTTGGTTTCTTCATGGCTACTTCCAGGTTACTGTGGCCACCCGGGGGCCTACCTATCCGCTTGTTTTTCCGCTTCCCGTAATAGTGTGCTGCCAGGACAGAAGAGAGGAGCACCGTGTTGAAATGCACCTTCAGTGTCACTAGTTATGTCTGTCCATCATCAGGACTGGAAAAATCAGTAGAAATACATTTCCCAACAGGAAACCCAATTCTGCCAAACTTCAAAATCAGTGTGTCTATATTTTCCTCTTTAATTTGGTCTAAGGAACAAGAGTTACTCATCAATTTTGTTTGCCCTGTAAAGATTTACTTCCTCCATCTCTGAGAAGCCCCAAATGATCTGATTTTATACAAAAATCATCAGTCAGAGATTTGGTCCAATTTAACTGCGTTTTTTATAATGTTTTGTAGTTTTTAAATATGGTCTCAATGCACTGTTTGTTCTCACAGTGTCAAATGGTTAAAGTCAGTTTACAAAAACCCTAAAAACTAAGAAAAGGGCTTGAAGGTGTATTTTGTTGCACAACAAATTGGTAAAAGCAATTATAATGCCACTTAAATTACAATGTTAGTCAGTTCTTGCCCCAGAAGTTGTCTTAAGAAGGTAAAGCTTTAAGCACACAACAAGAAGTTAAGCCATGGTTCTACTACTTAATGTAGAATCAATTTTTCTCCCCTACACATTGGCATGTGGATATTTTGTAGGTTTGTGCATGTAGAGCTTGAGCTGTTCCTTATGTAGGTAAAGCAATGTATTTTGGATTCCTTCTGGAGCCAAAACCAAAAAAAATTAAAATGTAACACTCCAAGCTCCACCTCGTTATGAGATTAGTGACCTACTCACTGTATTTAGTCTTTGTCAGGACAGAGCAGTTCTCAGAACACTTATCCAGCACCATTTGAGGGCCAAAGAGGTTTGGACAACATTCCAGCTTGATGCATGTTTTCCTACAGAAATCTGCCACCCGATCTGCCGTCCTCACAACTTCCACAGTCGCACGGTAGCTCTTGCCTTTGTATCTAGCATTGGAAATATGGTCATAGTTCAGGAATCTTCCAATTAGCAGCAGTAAAAAAGTACTTCATTTATTGTTTTGAGATCAAACAGAGAAATCTGAGCAATGATGAACTCTATGGACTGCCAAGTCCAGGAAATAGGTTCTCCTGTCTCTTATGACAGACCCCCAAATAAAGAAAAGCCACCACCAGAGGTGGCTGCAGCACCAAACACAGCAACACTGCCCTGTCAGTGACTACAAAATACCATCTGAGAGGACTGTTCCAGAGTTCAGATGTTTTGTTTTCTTTGCTCACAGATGGTTTGCTCTCTTTGCTTTTACGGGACTGCAGAAATTCCCACTGTGACACGGACAGCTTGTCACACAAAACAACACCAAGAGCACCCCCTGAGCTAATCATGGTAACAGCAGACAGCTTTTGGTGAGCCCTCTATGCACAGCCTATGGCAAGCAGATGGATTACTGCCACATTTCCAATCAACTTTTATCTAAGTGCTGAACAGTTCGCCAGGACAGTCACTCGCCATGGCTCGACATATTGCTCCTGTTTGATTTAAATTAAGAAAAGATTTCTTTTTGTTCACCAGCCTTGCCATTACCCTGACAGAGCCACTCCGTGCAGTATCTGCCAGAGCTGTTGATCATTTCTGCTTTGTTCTCCCAGCACAACTACAGCACATGCTGATATCTATTAGGGGTGTTTCAGGCCTCCAAGTATCTCGCTAATGCCTTGAAAAAAAGAGCAATATTATCATAGTCCAGAGATCCCTGGTGTCATTACTGTGGCAGGAGAAAGCACACAGCAACTTTGATGAAACTAAACAAATATTTTTTCCTTTATTCTTCAGTTACATCTTCTATTTACACTAATCTTTCATATCACCCTCCTATTGCCCAAATCCAGAGCAATCCTTCAATACACGGAAAGGTGTCTTTTTATACACAAATCGGATCCAACAAAAGATTTACTGACATGTTGAAAATTATGTAGGAAAGTGTGCTATGGCACATTGGGAAAATCTAATCTCTAGTATGCAAACACAGTGACCTAATTACAAAACCATCCCTAGACTATAAAGGAGTATCTGGACTTATCAAATATATGCAAATATGTTCAATGCTTTCTTTCCTTGCCGCAAAATAATCTTGCAAAGAGGCTTCAACCCAAAAAGCTCAGCAGGAAAACTAGAGAGTGCTTTAGGGTAGACTGCTGTAGAAAAACTTCCATGCCAGGCTATTTCAAAGCACTGTTGTCACTTAATTTCTGAAGAATCTTCTTCCACTGAAAAATCTGAGTGGAAATGCCATGGGAGCCTGAGAAGCCTCCCAGGCAGTATGTGCTTCTGCTTTAAAACACTGACAATTATCTTCAGGTGAATTAAATAATCTTAAACCTCACCTGCAGGTCTGTCAACATACATACACTGTTGTACCAGTACCAGACCAGTCTCACTTGACCACTGGCTGCTGGCATGCCAGTAGCAGGGTATGCCTGGCATATTATGGAGCATTAAAATGGGATGCACTTCACCAAGCGCTCATCAAGAAATTTATAAAGAATTCAACATTTAATGGCTGTTGGCATCTTGATATGCTCTAAGCAACTTTTCCTTCTCTGAAATGTATGAAGTTAAAGTACACACTGCAGAGAAATCCTACTGGGATCAACTAATGGGGAACAGGACAAGAATTTACTTGGCTTTTAGGGTCTCTCCATGTCCATGCCAGGCAGCCTCTTCGTCCAGCTGCAGCTCTCGCAGGACACGGCTGGGTTTGTAGGCGGCATTGATCAACAGAGTGAGAACCTGCAGCGTGGGAGGGAAGAGCAGAAAGTATCTGTAGGTTATTTGTACAATTAATCTGTTTTAAAGTGCCAGGGTAGAATAGGAAATTACTCCTATTCATCCAAATTATCCAGCATCAAAGCACTCATTCACAGCAGGATTACAGATACCTCCTGATACTGCCAAAATGAACACTGAGAGCAGTCGACACTTCAGGCCTTGCCAACCTTCAGAATTTGTCTGCAGAGTCATGAGTGTATCTGGCAATTTCCAAGTCATTGCCCTTGAATTACACAGCACTAAATTAACGCCTGGGGCTGAATAACTACAAAACTTGCATAACCTTGGCTAAATCTAAGTGATTATCTTAGAGATTGTATGTCATGTGAAGATGTGCCAAAAAATGCTGCAGGATTTTGTTGCCTGCCAACCCACCACTTACAGCAAAATCATACTGCAGAATCTTAAGCTCTCATCTGTTTTGCTTTCATGAACCATGACAAGGTCTGGATTATAATAAAATGATAATTTCTCTGGTAATGTAAAATAACTTGAACTTGTGAATAGCCTGAAGTTAGGGAGGTATAGTACAAAACATGCACTCAAATTGTATTTCTTACATTCAGTATGTGCTTACTCCAAATCATTCCAAAATTGGGTGCATCAGAACCTTGACATTACAGACTTGCAGCTTCATTACTACTAATGCAGCAGTCCAGAAATAAAAACAACAATTAAATATAGTGCAAGTCCAAACTCTCTCTAGGATTCATACAGGGAGCACGACTCATAACTGAAATGAATGTACCCAAGCATATTGGTTGAACTGTTAGCAACACTCAGCATCTGCACATCAGCAGGATTTGTGCACACTTTCTACTTTCAGGCAATGAAGCAGATTAAACCTTCAAGGTTAAATGAAGCTGCCACAGAATTTCACACTTGTTCTCCTGCAGTTCTTACATCATGGAAAGGATGGGGTAATTTTCTGCATGCAAAAATGGACCTTTTTCAGTAATCAGCTTGACTCTTGACAACCAGACTCTTGTTTTACAGCATGTCTGATATGATACTTGGTAGGGAGGGTAAAAATTGCAAAGACGTTGAGCCAATTCCTACATTTAAAGTGATCACTTCATGAGAGCTCAAGTGGGCACATGTAGTTATGCCTTAGGAAATTCACAGCCTCTCAGGTCAGATAATAAGCACCTTTTTGGAGATTTCAGAAAAATAATTATTGCATTAAAAGTATCTGTAAATTTGCTGTGATACACCTTGTGGAGAAGAGGCTCTTTGGCATTAAAGAAAGCCTCTTCCTCCCTCAATTACATTAAAAAGCAAAACTGCAGTTTCACCTGATCTTTGTAAATTGTATCCCACTTGCAAAACAGAGAGAATTCTTTTAATTTTCCAATTATGGAAAATAGTTTGCCATTTCTACTGAGAAAATCTGTATTCCTCTGTTTTAACATCAACAGTGCAAACTGTAAAGGAATTTTTGGATTATATCCAGCTAAATTCTGTTAATTAAATTTGAAGCATTTATTACAGCTATAAAGAGATACTGACTCCTTTGATTGTGGCAATTACAGGTTACACTGTTTTAACCTAAAGTAAAATTTAGCAGTAGAAGGCTGATTGTAACTCAGATAAATGAGAGGCTTTTACTCTTTTAAACCGTTCCTGATTTATACTTTACTAGATGCAAAAAGACCCTCTTTAATAAATTCAAGTTGATAATGAGTAATTACCCATCTGTAATTAGAGACACTCAGTGTTTATGACAGGCCCACTGCACACAACCATCTCACCTCTTTGAGCACAAGGACACAGTTCCCAGGTCCCACGGACTGGGGGAGCTCTGCAATCCTGCCCTTGTTCAGGTAAGGCCCCGAGAAGCACCGGTGGTTGAAGTAGATCTTTGGGCAGCAGTACTTGCCATTAATTACCACTGAGAAATGAGAAAGCAAAGATTTAAACCACATGCCACAACCTCCCCAGGAAAGAATCTTGCAATACTACAATAATAGTTCATCTGCTGTGAAAAAGGAGGGGACAAAGTCTTGAGTGACGTGAATTTGGGGTAGTTTCTGTGTCACGTTTGCAATGACAGCATTAGTTATTCCATGTTGCCAAAATATTTTTCATACTTCACACCCATGCTTGCAAATTGTCAAACTATAGTAAATAAAGATGGTCATCCATCAGGAAAGAAACATTCCTTCCTGGCTAGTCTGATCCTTCATGGTATTACACCAGTGAGAACAGGAAAGACAAAGACAGTCCCAACTTCTTGGTTACAGAAGCAGTTCCTATACAGCACTTACAGATAAATTTTCCAGTCAAGTAATTATCTCCCCCCAAAACTTCTGTCACCAGAGAAGCTGGTAAAATTATTCTACACAGTTTATCCTAAATTGCAGTATAACATGGTTGTGCATTTTTAGACTCTTTTCCCTCAATGAGCAAACAAAAGATGCAGCAACTGATTAAGTGACCTTTGATGAAGCAATATCAAGCATTCTAAACCCATTAAATGGTTCAATATTTCTCAATATTGAAGTGTAATACATGTTGCAACAGAGTTATGTGTAAAGACAATATTGTTTTATCTAGTGTTGTTGTAGTTTTCCTTGACTGATCAGTACTATCACTTAAAGATCTTAAATTCAGTGGTTGAAAACTGGCAGATAAATAAATGAAGTTAAATTTACATTATGACTCTATTAAAAGCCAATTAAACTGCTAAACAAGCACACACCATTTCTATCAACACTTGCTTTAGGTGAAGCTTCAGATGTGCACTTCACTGTACAGAAAACAGTAGAGGAGGCACTTTGTTGCCAAATGGATGGATCTGTGTGACTGTTTCACCAGCAGATGTACTTATTCATCACAGTCGTTCTTGCAACAGTTTAGAAAATGATTAGATTTTGCCATCTGGCACACAAAGCAGTTTACTGTTTGAATTGCTTTTGTTTATCATGATGATGAAGTTAACATAAAAAACAGACAGACCTGCTTCCCAAACTTAGAATCCAACCACTCAAGAGCACAGATGTAGTGTGCCTGTTTCTCCCAAGATTATTAAACATAGCAGGGGACAATAAAAAGTCACCTGCATAGGTCACAGTACACATAGAGCTCCATGTGTCCTCTACTGGGGGGGCAATGTTCTGGTGTAAAAATCTCATTTCCAGGTTTAATGCACACATGAACTGCAGGACACAAGTAATTACATATTTTTGTTTGTTTCATTCTTTTTTGAAGTTCAACAAATCATCAAGGGATGAAAATCTTCAAGCCCTTTCCTCCTCTTCCCTCTCCTAACAGTGCTGAGCAGGTGAACTGTTAAGAGGATTTTGCCTTTGTTAGCCTGACCTCTGTGATCAATACCTGAGTCAGAAGAGTTCAGTTCCTGGTTCTTTAGTCCATCATGAACTGTCCTTGAAGACAAAATTCTGAAATGAAAAGAAGTAGTTTGGGAAAAGGGACAGATGGTAAGGACAGTCACCACTCACACAGTTACTAAAAGACCATTACATTTTTTTTCCTTAGCTCCAGCTTTATTAATCTGCTTTTTATACCTCCCTTGTTTAACAATAATAACATGCAAAATCTACCCAATTCAATTTGGAAAGGACTTCTGCACTGCTACAGCCAGCAGCAATCCTTCCTTGCTTGAAGTCTATGAGCTACCATGGTGAAAAACACCACCAAAGCCACCCACAGGAGTTTACATTTCCTGCCTCCTCTTAACTTCCCATTTAATGGCACAAGGCACTGTGGTCTTACCTTACCCATTTTGAAAAAGTTGGATTTTAAACAAAATACAACCAAAATGACTCAAGTACTCTGGTAAGGATCCCAACAACAAAACACAGAAGAACAGCCTGCCCAGTATTTTAGGAGCAATGAAAACACTGGCACAGCACTACTGACAGCTCTGGTGCCTGTAAAGCTGTAGGAGTCAATAAAGCCAATTGGGAGGCATTCATGGAGCAGTGCAAAATCTTCTTTTTTTGGCTTGTCTGGGCCAAATTTAATCTGGGAAGGAGTGATTAGAAGTTCATCTACTAAAAGACAGCACTCACACTAAAGTGAATTTCTCTGATCAGCTGTGCAAAATCAGTTACATGTTAAGGCAGCCACATTTTTTAAGCATGTTTACATTACAGAAACTGTATTTTTTCAGAGAGGAATATTACAAAAGGCAATACAGTAATTTTTCCTACTACTCACCATTAAAGAAAGGCTCAAGCATAAATTTACAGTCTTAAGATCAGAGCAGTTTTTCTTAAATTTACAATACAATCTTCTAAAAGCGAAAGACCAACAACTTCAACCTCGGAACTTCAATGGCTTAACCTGTTCAATAATTCAGCTCAGTTGCAACAGCATTGTTAAAAAACAAATTCCAAGGTTTCTACCTCTTCCTGCTGTAATGCAGGTCTTTTTGAATATCAACAGAAATGACCAGCATTAACACAAATGGATTGTAGAATCTTTCAACCCTCAGTAGAGCACTTCTGTAAAGCTAAATCTTCCCTAACACAGCATGATTTTCCAATTAGAAAAAGAGAAAAAACCCAAACAAAATCCTAACAAAAAATAAAAGCAAAAAAGCTGTTACTTACTGTTTTTCTGGTTGAACTACTGCAATTTTTTTCTGCTTGTTTACTGAAAGGAAGACAAAAACATAAACAGTAAAGTATGAGAGGCAAACAAAACCATCCAGTACAAAAACTAGTGAACTCTTTTCTCCTAAGTTACACACCAAAAAGAATCCATGTTCCAAGTCACTGCCAGTGTCAGACAGCTGACCCATCTGCACTGGAGTAACTGGCCTAAGTAATTTGACAATAGGTTAACTTCAACTTTCACTAAAAATCCATTAAATCAGGCATGATACCCCCAGCCTTCCAGGAAATCTCACCTTTTTTGCATCTTTTATTTGCACCATAGCCCCTAAACTACCTGTAGTACCCGCCAAAAATGAATTTTATGCTTTCCTTTTCAGCACCCAAGGGTCAGGTTGTTTGGCCTAACTTGCCACTTTACCAGCACAGCAACTTCAACAGTGTTTAACTTCGAAATGGAATAAAATCAGCAGGTTAGAAACACAAAGGACTTAAGCCAGTCGCTATAGAGGAAAACACTTGCAACTAAACCAGTCATCAGGGTGATGGGTCCACTTGCTCATTCTGGCTTTCACAATCAGGTAATAATATCAAACAAGGCAATGCAACATATGCCTCTTCAAGCTTTGTCCCCAAAAAACTTCTGGATTTTTTTTTTTTTTTTAAGTTTTTTTGCCCTAATTAGGATCTCCTCTACTCCCTCCTGTCCTTGGCAGTGCAGGCAGATTAGTTTCTCTTGTTTTGACTTGCAGTAAATGACAGCTCACTCCAATCTTAAAATTCCCTTATCTTAATGAACATGCAGGAAATTCTTCAGTTGCTCCATCTCCCACTAAACTTTAATAAACAGAGCTCACTAACCAGTTGAGAGAAGACACTACCTTATGCTACTTAGTCATGTAGTTAAAACAGGTAGGATTTACTTTTCAGCACTTTGTCATTAAGGGATCATTACCCTCTGGCCCATTTAGAAAGTCCCCTTTATTTAGACTCCAGAATGCATACACACTGGTTTGTTATGGCATTAATTTTACTTGAACAAGTGCAAATGTAAAATCAGTATCAGGGTCAGACACACTTCAAGAACAGCTTAGACAGAAGTAAATGCAGAGCACGGGGGGTTGTGTGTGTACATACATATATGATTTTTTTGTTATGACTAATGGATTGTTCCCACAGGCTTGTACAGCCTGTGGGTCTCCAGCCAACACTGCTGTTTTGGAGTTGTTGTATGGCTTCCAACTGTACCCACCAGCCAGGGGAACACTTGTGCAAGGCACAGATTCTCTGTGCATGATGAATGTTTCCAAATGCAGTAGTGCCAGCAATAATTCTGCAGTAGCCTGCTCTGGAAGGTCTGCCCATCTCTCTCCACCCAGGTAACCCCTGCAAACAGAGCAGAGCTGGTACCTATTGCTTTGCGAGGAGGCCTCAGCTGATATCCATTCGTCTCACACCAACCCACTGGAAAGATATTCATGGATTCCACACTCACTATGCAGTCAGGGACAGGCTTCTTGGAACCTGTTCAGTTTAGAAAAGGAAAAATTGAAACAAGTAATAAACCCCCCAATTTGGTTAACGCTTGCTATATGTTTGCCAGTGAAGCCACTTTTACTTATGGCATATCTGGGACACAGTATCAATCATTTATTCATCCCCTTTCACTGACCAGATTCTTTCCTGCCCTCATTTGCTTCCTCCTGAAGGCTGGAAATGGGAATTTGCCATCCACAGTTTAGCAGAGATGCACAGTGCATAGTAAGTGCATGCTGATGTACTCTCAGTCAAGAAATGGGATTATAAAAGAGAACAATCATAGGCCTACTCTGTTTTAATGGGGAACCTCTGAAAGTTTTCTTCCTCAATCTGGTTAAAGCTCGCTTAGAATGCAAGTCACTGGTTTGTAAAACTGTTCCAAGGCCCTTGCTTTCTAAAAGACCCCAATCAGCACTTTGCACAGTGCACCAGCCCAGCACTGACACTGCAATGCACAAATGCCATTTTTGGCTTAAATAAGTAGTGCCAGCCAAGGCAAAGTGGAGACAGACAATGCAAGTGGGGTTTGCTGTGTTTTCACTGAGGAAACTGGAACTTGTTCCCATACTCTGCACACAGTGAGTATGCTCCAGATACACCTCAGGTCTGATGATGGCATTACAGAAGAACCAATGCAAGTGCTACTTGCTCTTTCCACATCAGGCTTACCCTCCAGCTCAAGCCAGAGGTAGGAGTCTTTCAACTTGGTGACTGTAGCAATGCAAACTTCTTCAGGATCAACTGGGTTCACAGCCTCGAGTTTCATATTCTCTTTAAAGCCATGGTCAGAAGTTAACTAGGAGAAAGCCAGGACACTTCAGTAAGATACCAACTGTGTGTGTGTGATATGAACAGCCATGAACAGGAGCAATACAAAAACCTCAGTGCTGAACAACACAGAAAGATACTCAGGCAGGCAGAGAAGATTTCAGATAATTAGCACATTGAATATGAGATGTATTATGAACTATGAAGAATTTAAGTTAAAAAAACCTCTACAGACAGACCTAGAAAAGAACATATTTGTTCTCAAAAAATAAGGATGCTGAGAGTCACTGGAAGGATTGAGTGCATTCTCAGCAATCAAGAATTCTCTGCTGCTTGCTACCCAAGTGATAAGTCTGACAAATAGTCTGACCAGGTTCTCTATTCCATCGTGTTAGCTTGGAAATCCACTTTATGTATGCAAATAACATTCCTGCCTCATTCAAATGAGTTCTGGCAGACAGCATAGGAAGTTTTCTTTTAATTTTAAATTTTTTTGATAAGTAGGATCTTACTTTATTCACCAACTTAGTTCACATTTATTAAAAAAAAAATCCCCCAAACATACGAATGGATGTTTATCCAGCTCTGAAGCTCCTGAATTAAAGATAAGAAGTAGCAGCCAGACAGAGGACTCTTCCTCCCAGAGCCACTCTGCAACATAATTACAGGATCAATACATTATGAATTCTGGAACTAGCCTACAGTGATCAACTCTTCTCAGAAAGGGATAATAAATTCAATGACCTGTTCTAAGATGCCACAGCTTACAAGACAGAACAAGGGCAACAAGAATTCATAGCCAGCAACACCCTCTTCAAAAAATGGTAATTATTCATTTTAATTTCTCCCCTAAGCACTGCAATAGCCCAAGTATTGTAAATGGAACTGGAAGGCAGGTGTTTATAGAACCCTTTTCTGCTTGACAAGGTATTGTGCTTTGGGAGACAGCAATACTGTCACTGAACCAACAAAAGCCCAAAATGCTGCAAGTCCTTCAGGCACTGATTAATGTAAAATGATTATCTGGTACTAATTTAAGATGACTTGGTATTGATCAATACAGTGGAATTAATTTTTCAAGCTGAAAGGATGGAAGATTGAAAGAGCACACTAAATAAATGAAAATAAAGTCTATTGAAAGGCCCTGTTTCCACAATTACAGGAGTGCCAACAACTGATGCTGTTCTGTGACTCTTCCACAGGCTCTTCCACATTTCAATTTCACAAAACAAACATTTATTTTCAATCTGCATTATCTCAACTGAAACATTTGGTCCACTGCTTCCTTATGCAGGGAACTGGCATGCACCTTCAGTTCACATACATTTATACTCTCTTATCTCTTCTGTTTCCTGAGCTATCCCAGGTAAGGTGTTAAGGCACTCAAATGTGTCCAGAGGAGGGCAACAAGGCTGGTGAAAGGGCTGAAGGAATGTCCTGTGAGGAGCAGCTCAGGACTCTGTGTTTGTCCAATTTGGAGAAAAGGAGGCTGAGGAGTGACCTCACTGCTCCCTGCAGCTTCCAGAGGAGGGGAAGAGGAGAGGGAAGTGCTGATCTCCAGTGACAGGACACGTGGGAATGGTTCAAAGCTGTGTCAGGGGAGGTTCTGACTTGACATCTGGCAGAATTTCTTTACTGAGAGGGTGGTCAAACATTGGAACAGGCTTCCCAGAGAGGTGGTCCATGCTCCATCCCTGCCAGTGTTTAAGAGGCATTTGGACAACACCCTTTAACAGCACATTTTAACTTTTGGTCAGCCCTGAAGAGGGTCGGGCTGTTGGACTGGATGGTCATTGTAGGTCCCTTTCAACTGAAATAGTCTATTCTACTTGGAAAGGCAATTTAAGTCAAAAACATGGAAAAGTTTCTTCTCTCTGGAATCAAGAGTGTCATTCACATAACACAAGAGATGTTTCTGGAAGAGAACCTTACCGAGGGGAAGCAGCTCTGGGGAGCGGCCTCAGCACCGCACTGTTTGAGGTAGTCTGCCCAGTCAAAGTCCTGCCCGGGGTAACCTAGGAGAAGGAAAAGCCAAGGGGTTAGAGTTTAACAGCCTGAGACTCCATTCAAACTGACATGAAATGCAGAGCACTGAGATCTGTTCGGGCCACTCAGGTTTGGCAGCTGACTACAGCTTCCTCAGCCACCTGAGGGCAGCCACAGCAACCTGAACCGTGAATAAAGTACATCTGCTGAGCAGACAAGGGCAGCAATTCAAGCACGGGGAAGCACTCTCACCCTTTTTCACAGGGTACAGATGAAATTCAGGAAAGATTTCTGCAATTGCTGTTGTGTCAGCTCTGAAACTTTTCTTTAAAACAGAGCAGTCAAAATGTGCACAATATCAACATACTACTCTCTCAAAGACGTGCTAAACACTAAGTCATTAAAGAGAGCAGTCAGATGTGCCAAGAGGCTCATGAGGTTTGCCAACAGCCGTAGATCTGCATTTATGTTTGAAGGGAAGACTCTTAACAAGGAGGCCATCAGGAGACACAGCATCCTTCCAAGAAAAATTATCCTCTTCTTGGGGGAAATACTTGGCTTCCCTGTGATCTAATAAAAGCAAATAAGTGAAGGGAAGAGGGAGCAGAAGTGTGCTGCCATGTCAGTTTGAGGCTGGCAGTAAATCAGCAAGTACACAAGTGCTGCAGTTATTCCACTCACCTACAAGGGACACCTGTGACAATGGTTTAAGCAATCCAACAAAATCTTAAACCCAGTCTAAGAATACAGTATTAACATGACAAACTAAACACACAAAGTTCAACCATGCCATGTCTACACATATTTTAAATATGTGGGATGGTGACTCAACCACTGCCTTGGGCAGCCTGTTCCAATCTGTGACAACTCTTTCTGTGAAGAAGTTTTCCCTAACATCCAACCTAAACCTCCTCTGGCACAACTTGAGGCCATTTCTTCTCATCCTGTCACTTCTTACCTGGGAAAAGAGACCGACCCCCAGCTGGCTACAACATCCTTCTTACAGGTAGTTGTAGAGAGCAAGAAGGTCCCCCCTGAGCCTCCTTTTCTCCAGGCTGAGCCCTCTCAGCCCCTCCTTGCAGGACTTGTGCTCCAGACCCTTCCCCAGCTCTGTTCCCTTCTCTGGACACACTCCAGCACCTCAATGTCTTTCTTGTAGTGAGGCCCAAAACTGAACACAGGATTTGAGGTGTGGCCTCACCAGTCCAACCTGAAATATTCTGTGACTTTTACCCCCTCAGAGAGGGCCGAACCACAGAAGGATCTATTTATTTGTCTCAGTTTTATCAGTCCCAGTAGGGCTCTTGAGACCTCACACAATTCAGAACGCCCACCATGTGCAAGGGACTACAAGAGCAGGAACTTAAAATCTTCGTCAGCTCCAGTCACATGCCCACAAAGTGAGATTTCATTTTTCACATGCAAAATTCTGGGTAATGCTGATCAAGCAAAGCCACTTTTTGTATTTTTTCCTACCTGAAAGGCAGGAGACAAACATCCTACGGTCGTTGCTCCTCTGATGTAAGGAGCAACTAAAACAAAACATTCTGAATTCTGAGATGGTGAATCAGAGAACTGACTCCCTGATTTTACAATACCATTGACATTTCCACTTTGAGAAAATGAATAAATATTTCAGCAGCTGAGGAACACTCCCCTATTCCCTTATGTCCCGAAGCAACGTTTCAGCAATCTGCTACAGTGCCTGATAGGTCCCTGATAAAAAAATAGTTCATTAACTTCTAAGTGATAAAATATCCTAAAAATATTATAAAATAATTATAACAATGTTCCATTCTGACCAGAAGCAAAAATCCAATGCAAAGACTACAGGTTTCTGATATCATGTTAATTAAGGCTGAAATCAGCATTTCTTTCAGCCCTGGAACACACAACACACCACTCATTCCAGTGCTCAGGTTTTTATGCATGACCAGCATTCCCCAGCCTCTCTCATCTTCCCAAATCCAGGCTTAGACCCAGGAAACTTCAGTTTCACTAACTCAAAGCTCCTGTTTGTCAGAATTTGATCTTTCTTGTTCTACTACATGTAACTGTGTTGCAGAAGTGCTGTCCTAACCAGAGCAGTGGGGACTGGGGAGCTGCTCCCTTCGGGGAGGGGGGAGCACGACAGGGCTGCACAGACATACCTGGGGGGGGGCTGAGGTTCAGGCCATTCTTCAGGCTCCACTGCACTGGGAAAATGCCAGCACTGTTGACATGACAAACGTAGGACTGGCTGCTGGGACGGTCTGGTCTCAGGTCATCAATCTCTATCATGAAATATTTGTCATTGAACACCTGGAGTCAGGCAAAAGAGAACCACGGGGTCTGGTGAGTAGCAGGTTCTGATCTACTGCTCCCCCTCCCTCATTTTGTTAACTTCAGTAAACAGCAATATTGTATGATACTAACTCTTTATCTTGAAATACTGTGAGGATTAAAAAAATTAAAGGAGAATCTATAGGATTTATAAACCAGTGGATTCCTCTGCATTATCCAGAATGTTAACAAATATAAATAACAAAAGTTAATGTATAAGCACTTTAAAAATGAGGTGATCAAGCACTACATGAAATTTTCTCATGAAAAATGCAGAGGAATTAGTGTCTGTGGTCTTCCTACCATTCTATAAAAACAAACTGCTTATTTCAACAAGGCTGTGTCCTAGGATGGACTGTCACAAGTAAACCCACTCCACTGCTGACGTAAACAGAAGCAGGGTAAGCAAATAGCAAGAAAAGTAAGACCTGATTATGTTGGGAGAGTTTTCATTTCAACTTTTAAATCTGATCATCTAAATGTCATAGGTACATAGTAATGACAAAATGCCATATCTACATAGCAATGACACAACTTTTGCACAAAAAAAAAAAGATCAAAAATCTATCTTCAACTGGATTCTCAGATTATAAGACATTACATCAATTTTAATAACCTGGGTTCAACAATTCTAGTAATTTGATCTTTTAAGCCTGTATCTTTATGGAACTTTTCCTCTCTGTTCAAATGCAATGGCTTCACCATCAGCAGTTAAGATGCTTTATCATGGCAGCCTGTCCCCTGAGGGAGACATACAAAATACTTCATTGGGAAACTAGTTCAAGATTTTAAGATAATCAGTTAATGAGAATTCCCTGAGCACTTCAGAACAGAAGTTGTAGTAGTACTGAATCTTAGCAGGACTAGTTTAAGAACGCTGGTACCTTAAGAACTGTAGCAGGAGAGATTACAAAAGGAGCCATTGGATCCACAGCTTCCAACTTCATGCCTTCAGAGAATGAATGCACTCCAATCACAGGTTTATCCTGAAAAATGAGGTGCCAGTGTGATTACCTGCCTTTCTCCATCAAAGACAGACGTACCTCACATAAATCAGCTGAAGAGGATGACTTAAGTTTTTATTAGCTCATTCTAAGAAATCAACCTGTTGGAATAGCAGCAACTTCCCCAGGTGAAAAGGCCAACAATGCCCTCTGAGACTGACAGTCTTCAGTGAGTTTTAGGAAATTGAGGTCCTGCCACTTCCTCCTCTGACATTCTCCACACAGAAACAAGATTTGACAATACAAGGTGGTCTGGTAAGTCAACAGAAATGTTCTGGGGTTTGTTCCTCTAACTTTTAGCACTCCTCTAACCACTCATGAGCTACACTAAATGAGAACTATACAGTCTCAGTTTTCAGTCTAACAAAAACTTGCAAAACAGGGCTCCTTCTTCAGAATTATGTATATCCTGCTCTATGTATGACCCAACAAATTCAAGAGCTGCAGCACCTCCTCTTCTATTCTGCTTACAGGTCCAAACAAAGCTGAGAAAAATTAATTAAGAACTTGAAGAATTAAATTTACATTCCTATTTCTCAATATATGTTAAGATTTTTTTTATTATTATTATAAACAATTAGAGAGACTGTTGTAATCCAACAATCTGTAGTGTCCTCCAGAAGGACACTAATCTGCAAGACCAAAGTGGGCAAACAACTGGAGATGCCTTTATAAAGCATCAGAATTGTGATGGGTGCATTGTCTAACTTACCAAGAATTGATAGTAGTATGATTATTTTTTATTATCCTTACATTTTTAAACTAGAGGGAGAAAGGAAATAAATTAAAAAAAACCAACAAAACAAAACAGGGAAAGAATTTTAAGTAAGTGACTGACTTCCCTGAACTGTTTCTTAGGAATATAACATTTTCATGGATTCATCAACAGCATTAAACTACCTTAAAAAGATCTGTAGGAACGGATGACTCCTCCTCCTCCTCTTTCACCTTCTTCAGGATCTCTTGCCAATCTGCTTCACTCCTCAAGGACCTAATGGCTTGAGGAAAGAGAGAGGGAAAGAATGAATAAAGTCACCTTCCTTCCTCTTTTCCTTCAGACACAGAGCAATAAGGCCAAGAGTTTGATTTGTGCTCCTCTAACTGCTAAATTCTTATCTGTTCAGAACCTGTGCAAATGCCTTCCTTCTCAAAAATGTACTGCTTTCTTCAACATTTGCCTTTTTATGAAGAGGAACTGAACAAGCAACACTGTATCACCCATACACTGCCCAGTCTGCTTTTTCTGAGAGTACAGAGACCACATTAACACCAAGGAAAACTTCTGGAGAAACATATGACAAGAAAACAAATCCCCAGCTGGATAATCCAGCTGGTTTTACGCTTAAGCAAGCAGAAATTTCAAGAAATGTTCCACTAGCCTGTTCCAGATGTATAAGTTACTCCTTTAACATCTGCAATTGCAGGCCACACACCTCTGACAGAAGAGAAACTACTCATAGCAGTGCCATCATGCACAAAAGATCCCTGGGAGTGTCTCAAAGCTCTTACACAGACACAAAAAGGAAACAAATCCAGTAGCTAACTAATATTTTTAAAAGACACTAATCACTTAAATAGTGCTGTGGAATCCCCCCATCTGGTGCTTGGCAGTGATTTGGCATCTCCCTGTTCACAATCCTGATTTCAGCAGAGATTGGTCAAGCACTAGTCAAAGCAGATGCTCAGTCATTCCAATAGGATTGGTTTGGTTTCCTCAGCATGATTTCTTCTTGCTGTGAGGGGAAAACATTAACGAAGAAAACCACAACAAAAGCAACTGTTCTAAACAACTTGAACTTCTTCAACTTGTAGCACTGAGTGTGCCACAACCTTAAATGCACACCTGTAGAAAGGCTTTAGGACAATGCTCAACATTTTCCAGCTTTATCCCAAGGTTTCCCTTCATCAGGAAACGTTACATCACTGCTCAGCTTGTAAGTCAGCCGTGTGTGTTTCTGCCATTTTATGCCCCAGTCCTTTGAGGACCAGCCCTGACATGAAAAATAAGCCACCTGTCCCACCCTCTGCCTCAGTTTCCACGCATTCATTCCTTTTTTTAAGGGATATTTTCATATCTTTAAACAGTGTCTAAATTAATCCAGTGGACTTGAGGGTCACAACTGCAAAAGCTCCTGTTGAGCAGCACTTCAAAACCTTAAGACTTTCTCACCCCCAGGAATACAAACCTAATAAAATTAACAGTGAAGGCAATCCCTTCCTCAGTTCCTCCTTTTCCACAAACAGGTGGAAAGTTCTGACAGGCAAAAGCCATTTAGCACCTTCTGAATGAGTGGGTGAAAAGTCTTGAAGGATTATTTTTTTTTCCACTTACATTTTATTAGGTACAATACTTGTCAGATCCCACAGTGATTATGTGACCACCATGTGCACCCAGAGGGCAGATTCAGAGAACTAAAGCAGCATGCAGTGTTCTCTACCCTCTGATCATCAAATAAAATATGCTAAAAAATAGATGTTTTGAAGTACCTAAAGGTGGTTGCAGGCTATATCCATGCTGGGCTGCCCAACCCACTTGGTGAAGGAAAGGGTCCAAGTAGAACAGCCACTGGTCAAATTTGTCAGAATCCTCCAGTCCTTCATATCTCAACTTCAGTCTCCCCCCAACATTTTCTACCACAGTGACTATCCAGGCTTCCAGGGAATCCCGGATGTTTTGCAGTTCTAGTCGGGAGCCCGGTGCAATGAGATCCAGTGGATTTTTCCCTCTGTGAAGCTACAAAAAGAATACAATTATTCTGCACGACAGAACAAAACGAAGCCCATACTTCCACCTCTATACACACTTCTTTTTTTTCATAAATAAAGTATGAAAACAGAAGAAATACACGTCTCTTACTAACACAAGACAGAAATTACAATGTTCAGAACCACTGCTGTTTGCATCAGAGCTTCCTCACTGCCTGTGGATGCAGTCACACATTTCACTTACATCCTCATTATCACTGTCAGAGGCATTATCACTTCTGTATTCAAGGTTTGAAGGAAACATGCATAACCTCTTTCTAAAACTGAGTCATCCAACATACAAAGATGACTAGACAGAAACACAGCAAGACAGAAATGTTAGCTGGAATGAAGATGTCAGTGGCATTTTCAAGAAACCATTACGTTCTGCACTTCATAACCGTGAGGTGCAAATATTGTTGAAGTGCAGAGGAGGGGATAAAAATTTGGTTCTTCACTAGCAAAGATGTGATATTTAAGTAAAACAATAACCTGCCCATTAGTACAAAACCCAAATAGAACAAAACAATCTGAAGTGAAAGGAGTCAACTGAGAAAGGGGACAACATGGAGGAGCAGAACTGGAGGAAGACTGAAACCTAAGGGAGTTGAAGAAGATCTTTCTTTTGATAGGATTAAGGAAGAGTCCAAACCTGCAGCAACAGATATGTTTCAGGGCAACACTAGCAAAAATGAATAGTCTAAATAAGAAGCATTAGAGAGTGGAATGCTATGGTCAGCAGCACATTACAATGCTCCCTAAACTTAAACAGGGAACTGACAATCCAAATAGTGGTTCCCCTAATGAAGAAGGGGAAGACCACGACAAAGACCAGGATGCAGCACAGTGCAGGACTCACCCCCTCGAGCAGGTTGGCAGGAGCACTGCACGCTCCCTTCAGCACCCGCTGAAGGAACTCCTCCTGGTCAGGTATCCTGTCCTTGATACCTACGTGAGAAGGGAAGAAAAGAGACTGTGATTCTTCCTGCCAGATAAAGATTATTCAGACACGAGATGTTATCACACCCTTGTGCTGCCTAATTCAGAAGAATCTGCCATGCACCAGTAACATCTTAAAAAAAGAAAAAAAACAACATTTTTGAAGGAAATGACAAAGCAGTAGATTTTGGTGGGTGATAATTAAGATAATCACAAGCCTCTGTAAGAATTAGTTCTGAAAGTTCTGAAATTAACCTAACTCCTCTCTGGTGAAGGAGCAATCTCCTAATGTAAGCCATGGGATGTCAGGAAAACACGGTAGATAACCTCAGCTTGTCCCCACAACGCCACCACCCGCACACACCAGCAGCCCTGCAGGCTGCCTGCCAGGCTGCCACAGGACAACAGCACACTTTTGTATGTACCCCCCCTCCCCCCTTCTGCACACAGAGCTGATACCTTCAGGCACTTTGAGGATCTTCTTGTTCTGCTCACACCAGCCGATGGGGTGCAAATCAGCCGTCATGATGTCACACCAGAAGTCAGCCTTGCGGTCCTCCCCGTACCCATCGTAGCGCAGCAGCAGCAGCTGCCCACAGGTGGTGATGATGGTGGCTACCCAGTAGGTGTTCTGGTCAGACTTGACAGCCACTTCCAGCTTCATTCCAGGAGCAAAACCATTCTGCAAACTTGTATCCACCTGAAGAGGAAGATCATCACACCTGAGCACCTCCCAGAAATTTTGTTGAACAACAGAGGGAACAGTTTAGACACGTTCATTAGCAAAAAACCTCATGGCAAATTCCATCCAGTGTCTTCAGAGAAACAACTTCATCACATTTATGGGACCCAAATTGGAATGAATAAAATCATCCTTCATGAAATCTTCTTTGCATTTCAGAGTATCTTTTCAACCTTAAATCAATGCCTTGCCATTCATGTTCCTACCCCGAACAATACCTCCCTCACCACTGAAAGCCTTTCCTGCTCACAGCTGGGCTGTCAAGCTCAGCAAAACTAAAGGCCCAACTCAGGATCATGACTTTGACTTGTTGTGTTAAACTGTGGTTTTCAAGGTCTTTGGACAAAGAGCCTGTTTAAAGTACCTACACATGCTTTAGGTAACAATATCAGCATCCCTTCCACCAAACTCCTCTAAGAACTCACAAACTGCAGAATAAGGATTTTGAATGCCTCTATCCAAGAATCTAATTAATTCTGTACCTAGCATTGCTCCATAAATTGCATGGAACATAATCAGTATGTGTTCTTGAGTTAACTCATGCTCTGACACAGTAAAGCACCAAATGCTGTGAGTGCTCTGTGTGTATGTGGGTGTGCTGTGGGCAGGTGAGGAATCTGATTGCACAGTACTGATGCTGAGATGTGACCTTAAAAAGAGAAGGCAAAACAATAAGTTTCTCATATCCCTACCTTCTCTTAGCTCAAACAATTCTGAAAGAGCAGAAAGAGCCTCTTCTGCTCTCACTGTAGTATGTTTGATCTATGCTTAAGTTTAGGTCCTCAGTCCTAATTAAAACTCTGACATGTCAATCCCTTCTTCTCAGCTGACTGTAACTGGTGTTTTCTTTCTTAAGTGGTCCCAAGCTTCATTTCCTCTTTGAATCAACTGCAAGAAAGGCTTTCAGCATGATGCAAATGGAGTAGACACTTTCTGGGGTATTTATTCCCAGTTCTGCACTGACAGTTCAGTAACTGCCATAGCTATTACAGTCTCATCAGCCAGCACGTACTGGTTTGCTAAAAATAAAACTAAGAGAACCACATCAGAAAGAAAAGCATATGCCTCTGTTAACTGTTCACATCCTTCAGGTTAATATCCTTCACTTAGAGACACCTCTTCTTGAAAACATAATCAGCAGGTTCTAATACCTGCAGCCATCCTGAAGTGGTATTATAGAGGGTGACTCTTAAAAAAGACAGTTGTCTTGCTGTCTTCCCAAAGACTTTGTATTCTGGTTCCCAAGGGATAAGCCTTGAGCTCGACACAGTGTGAGGAATTGGGCAATCTGTGCAGCTCTCTATACCCGACCTTTCAGCAAAGCCTCACGGCAGAGAGAGCTGCAATCAAGGAGCCCAAGAGCAGCAGAAGGAGCTTTCCCTGCAGCCAGGTGCGTGTTCCTAACGCCGGCAGGGATGTTCCCTCGGGATTACAGCGCAGACCGAGCAGCTGTTCGCGCCCTCTCCTGGACACCGCCGAGCAGTTCAAAGCACAGCCCTCGCTTTCTCCAGGCGGGTTGGGGGACCAGGGCAGGCTAGGAACATCCAGAGGGTTTTCTTTGGAGCAGTGGGGCGGAGAGGGCAGCCTGTTGCTGCACACACGGCAGGCTGAGATGGCCAGGAGTGCTCAGTGACTGCACTGCCCAGGCAGGTCCCACCACTCCTTCCCAGAAGGTCCTATCCCCCCATCTGTGCCACGGCACAGGTCAGAGCTGGGGGTCCAGCTCAGCTCAGGAGAGTGATAAAGAACACACACAAAATACTAAGAGTATGCAAGAACACACAGCAAATAAGTGTGTTCAGATGATGCTGAACACCAGGTTATTTTTAATACGTGTTTACACATGTATAGAAGTAGCAGAGAGGAATTAAAATAGAGCATTCAACAATTCTAGACAAAGTGTAGACTTAGGGGGGATGACAACATTGGCATCCAGTGCAGCTCTAGGTTTTTGCTAAGTTCTTTCTTCTGCTACACTGTAGGTAAAACAGTCACTTTGATCTCAATATCGTTCAGTTCTGAAAATGCTAACAAATTAAACATTAGAACATGCTTAATTTGAGAAGTAGCTTACATTTTCCAATGCATCTTGCTTATAGCAAGGCAAAACTCTGAGAATTAATATAAGCAAAATATAAAAGGTCTTCTCTCTCATCTAGCTTTGCTAACACTGGCTATGTAACAATAGATTACATTTTCTTAATCCGAACATGTACTCTCTCCTGCAACACAGGTCAGGTATTTCTCACTTGCTACTCATAATGGGAGGTCACAGTCTCACTGCTTCAGTATTTAAAAAGAACCAAACAAAACCCTTAAGATTCCATCTAAAATGTATTTATATTAATTAATTAATTTGTAATACACGTTCGTTTGTTCTTGTGCCAAGGCTATTCTTCAGCTTAGATTTTTCCACTCTGCTTTGTTGAGAGTACAAAAGTATTTCCTTCTTACCTGTCCTGACAGTGGATCATTAAATATGTCATTCTTCAAGTCAAGCAACTCACACCACAGATTTCAACTGGAGGGACCACCAGTCTCTGGCACAGGCACATCAGTGCCTGTATGCTCTCCACTGGAAATCACTCACCTAATGTACCCTGGAATCACCTTAACCTTTTCTTAGGGCTTCATCACACAGACAGGCTGTCACTCTCCACTGGGAGGCAGTGAGACTCTCCTCCTCTACCTTTTCCAATGCCTTACCTTCTAACGGACAGCAGAACCCCCGAGCATGTGACCCTGCACTCCTGCATTTCTATGAACAGCACGATCCAGGTGATGTGACACTGATGTAAATACACTCCTCTCTCTGCTTGTCAATTCACTGTCAGCATTGACTCCTCAAAATTTTATGCCAACCTTATTACAGAGAACATCAACACTGGTGTCTGGACAAATGCTAAGGAACTCTGCTAACAAATGCCTGATAGTTCTGTTTCTGAACACACAGGAAACTATTTCCCCGCTCACTGATGACCCCTTGCAGCAGTCCTGGCCCCCCAAGCCCCCAGGGGAGCAGGACAGGGCTGGGCAAAGGGCTGGGCTTTGCCCACACCTGCTCACTAAACCACTCTCCACCGCAATGTTACCTGCACCAGCAAAGCTGCACTGTGCTCCTCACATGTAGGGACTAATAACAATTAAAAATGGGGATTTTTTTTAAAGCTAATTGTATTTTTACCAAGCATGGCCACAGCCAGCAGACCTGTGACGTGACACAGCTGGGTTGGCGCAGGGGTTGCGAGTCTTTCAAAGCCTGTCTCTTGCTAATTAACAAAATGCAGCTATAATATTAATTCAGTTGGCCACCACTGTAAAGCTGGCATTACAATTAGTTGTATCATGTCCAAGCTATGACAGCAGGCTTCCTTAACAGAGATCCTGTCAGGTAAACCACACCAGAGAACAGACCACTCCTCACACTCCTGCAAAATGCTCTACTCTGGGCCCTCAGCGTGGGCTGCACAGACACCACCACTCTGAGTAAGCTCTCTCTTGCCACAGCCTCAGTACACTAAGGAAGAACAAAGCAAGCAGAGGTCCCTTCCCTTCAGAAATGAGATACCTGAATGTTTATTTTGAAAAAAAAAAAAACCTACAACAAAAAGCTTACAATTACATCCCAGTCTACAGAAGAGCTTCTGTGAAGCCTGTGCTTACTCTGCATCTTCACTACTAACACAACTGCATATTTGAACAGATTGTTTAATGTTTTGCACTTCTGCAGGTCACCTTTGCATTCCTGTGATCCTTCATGAACAGATCTCAGTCTGCTTTCCTGCTGATTTAAGTTTCCAATAGAGAAAGTCATGATACTGGATCCAAAGCCTGAGCACCATGGGATGCTTTCCAAGTAATGTGTCACACAAAAGTCACTACCCTCACTGACATGGTAAAAGACCCACAGGCAATCTTTGAAAGACTATTAAACTGTAACTTTAGTAAAGAGCTGGATAAGGATACAGGCTGGCAGTCTGGAAGGTGTTTTAATTGTTGGAAGAGAACCAACAGGTTTGGACACCAGCCCTACAGAGCTCACCTTCACTGATGACCCAGGACAAGCAGGCAGATTTCACATTCAGATCCCACCCAGTGGGACAGGGTGTTCCAGGATTCTACCATCAAACATTTGATTAAAGATGTCCAAGGGCAAAGACAAGGGCTTATCAAGACTTCATCCTAACCATTAAGCCTGTGATCAACAATTATCCTAATCAGTCTTCTAACTACTACAGCCAAGTATTTGGCAGAGCTATTATTTTCTCCTTGAGATCCACCATTAGACTTCTTTGAGAGCACATTTGAATTCTGCTGTTCAAGAACTATTCTGCCACCAGCTTTTCTACAGCAAGTCCTCCATAGCAGCTGTCCAGTAGCACCACAAGGAGAAAGAGACTGGCTATTCTGAGCTTCTTGAGAAAAATCAAGCTTATCCTCTGGTGCAGAAAAGACTAAGAGCTCCTGAACTTTCAGCACCTGTGGATGGGGTTACCCTGTACTACATACAGAGAGGAAATGAGAAACAATAATAAAAAGGTTAAATTCCTCATTTCTCTTTACTCTAAGTAACATGATTTTAGTTAGTCTTCCAGATTTGAAAGCATCAGCATATTCAAAGAAACCCTAAACATTCAGTGTATCAAAAAACCAAGGCAGGACATGATAAGCAAACACACACTCCCTTACTCACATGTTTGAAAGATCCATGGGGGGCTGCAGTTGCTCCTGTGTCTTCTAGATACTCATCCCAATTGAATTCCATTTCATCCACACTGGAACCAGCATCTGAAAGAGAAGCCAAACATCTCTAATTTAGCAACCTGTTGGCTTAAGTTTTAGGCTACTACAAACCACAGCAAAGTCTGCTTCAATTCCAAATGACTGAGTACACAAGTGTGTGTCAGTTATACATTTCAACACACAGACAACACAATCTGGCCTTTCTTTGTATGTGAACAGCACTCTTAAGTTGGACCTGGTCTGAAAAACAGTGAAATCCTGGGTTTTGGTTAAGCACAGATTGCTTACAGTTTGTGAGGGAAGAATACAGGCAGGAGAGCTCTGTGTTTGTATCAACAAATATCAGAGACTCAAAACTTTGGGCACATTGGACGGTTAGTGTATTAAATAAAAACCCATCCAGGAAACAGCAATACTAAAATTAAGAGATCTGAAAAGAAATACTAAAAAAAAATTAAAATATCACTTGTCCTCTTTTCTAAGTTAGATAGTATGCATTTAGATGTTCTAAAACATCAAAAGCAGAGAGAGGGACTGAGGGTAGTTCTAAAGAAAACAGCTTGAGACATAACTGAAACCAAGGCCACTCAGATTAGTCACATTAAAGAGGCCAGCTCATAAGGTGTAATAGTTTCTTTAGACCAAAAAAATCTCATTTCGGGATGCATTTAAACCATAAATGTGCTAAAACCACTCAAACCACAGTTCAAAACTCACTCAGGCTGTTAGGGAAGCAAACACCTGGAGTGAGCCATGCTACAAATTAGTCAGATTTCCTACTATTATTGTCAAGCCTGTCCTCTAGCCCCAGTCTCCCCTTCAGTTCTTGGCTCACCTCCTCACTCCCTTTCTATTCTCATTTTTTCCAACATGTAACCCACTCTGCTGAAAAGATGCCAAACCAGCAGAGGTTGGATTTCAGGTCCCCTATTTTTGTTCAGCATGCAGCCACACTACATTTTTCCTGCAGGCACACAGTGGGATGACCAGGGAGGGTCCCACCTCATGCAAACATCATTTTTAACCTCAACACACAAACTAAAGCTTCAGGTTCAGCAGCAGAATGGGATGGCAGGGACGTGACACCAAAACAGAGCTTTCATCTTCACTTTCAGCCTGATTCCACCATCTGCACCATAGTTGTCTTTATGAATGAACAAGGGAGCTTTTCCTCTCTCAGTACCAGGAAACCTGATACCTTGTTTATATTTGAAAACAGAGAAATCTCTGTGTATCACAAGCCCGAGGAGAGCTCAGCACAGGTTACAAGACACCAACACTTCCTACACTCTGAGTCTTCTTTAGGACAGGCAGTAAACTGTTCTTTCCAGGAGCAGTAGCTTGAGTAGGAAACAGTACACATAAAAAAAAAATATAAAAAATGAAGTACTGCTACATGCCCTTATCAGACCCCTGGACGTGCTGACAACCTGCTAAGTGTGCTCCAGGACAGTTCCTAGTCCGCCAACAGAAAGAGGCAAATATTTGCCCAAAAGTCTGAGATATGTTAAATAGACTAAAAAAACTAAAAGTCTTAAGTGTAAGTAGATTCAATCCATCTTCAGACTGATGGTTAAGCTCATCTTTGACTTCTCACTGTAACTCTAGGAGTTATCATTTCCCAAAACTCAGAAATGTATATTCAGTTAGCTGTTGTCTGCTGATGACAGCATCTCTCCCAAACCCAACTTCTGTTGTTTTTAACCAACCACAGCTGGTTATATTGGCCTTTCATAAGCCTCAGAGCTCAAAAGATTCAGAGTTTAAATATGACCATCACTTTTAAGGGATAATTTTTAATTTACTGAAGAAATTACCTGGAGAAATAAATAAGGAGTTTTATTTAGAAAACTTTTGAGGGAGTTAAAGGGGTTAATGCACAGACCACAGCTGTTTGTAAATTAGGTTGAAGCTGATCAAAGCTTTGGCTGTAAGTCATTCTAAGAAAAATATAAGTTCATTGCAAAATGTTGTTAAAACAGATTAAGATTTCTTAACTCATTTAAACAGAATTTTATTTTATTATGACCATAAAAATGCTTAAGTTCACAGCTCCAGAACCAAAGTGGGAACAAACATCAGCTCGGACACAACATATATGGGTCAGTCAAGACCTGGAGCGAATTCTGTCTCATTTTTCTCCGGACCAGAGACAGTCAGCTCATCTCTTCCCACCAAAAACCACCCGGCTGCTCAACAGCAGCAACAGCCCTGCCCTCCTGCAGCCCCAAACAGCACTGCCTGCACCATCCAACACACTCCTGTTTGAGGGAAACAAAGCAACGGGGCTGCTCTGTGCTTTTGAACCAGTTTGAAATCCAGCAGCTCCATCTGGGAATGCCACACGGCCCTCGAAGCTTTCCCAAGCCTTGCAGCACCGAGTCTTCAAGCCCGTTATCATCAGATAACTGGCTGAGGGGCAGTTAAGCTCCTTAAATGAGGCACAGGTCACTTCACACACTGAAAGGGTCAATTAGTAACTTCTGTTGCCACTTAATTGCTACAAGGAGCTCCAAGGAAAGCCAGTTTGCCTGCTGCTCCAGCGACCCTTTGCCTTTAACTACGGCTGAAACCATTCCCAACTGGATCAGTTACTGCAGGTCCTTTGTCATTCCACTCATCCATGATTTCTGCAGCCTGTGTGTTCCATATCCAAACGAGCACTTTCCTTCCAGGTGAGAAGGGCTCGGATTGCTCTGTACAGTACAGTGCCCAAATCTCACCAGCACACCCAAAAGCTCACTATAAACACATTTTCATGGGAAAAACAAACAAAAAACCCCCCAACCAAACCAACCAAAAATTATCACAAATCGCTGTCCAACACTCATTGCAAACTTAATACTTTTCCTGCTTTATTTTAGGCAGTTTCCTTGAGTCAGAGGGATTTTTTGAAACTTTTTTTTAAAAAGCACACACAGCTTTTGCTGTTCATTCATTCATTCATTCATGAAAGTACAACTCAGCTTGTGTTTGCACCTTACTAAGGCTTTGCAATTAAATGAGAGAAGGTGATCAGACTCGCCCTTCAAGCACTGAACACGAGGAGTCAGAGATTTCAGGAGCTTTGCTCCCTTTCCAGGGGCTGACACAGCTGAGGGCTGTGCTTAGCTATAGTTTTAACCCAACCATCTGCTGCTTTCACACAGCCCTGCCACAGCATTCCAGGTGATTTAGCACAGCACTTACAGGAGCAGTGTGGAACAGGAAAAACCCACTGAATAAAGCTCCAAGCAGAAATGTTGTGGGAGGATTCATAGTGAGAGCAGTAAATTAGTTTTTTAATTGTGGTGTTTGGAAGGATTTTATAAACTGTGAAAAATCTCAGACATCAAGTCTCTCTTTTTCAACATCTGAATGGAGAAACACCCCAAGAGTGCAGTGAAGGACCATCTCTCTGGTAAGGCTTTCAGAGTCAGAACCCAACCACTTTGCTGGTTTTATTGGCAGGACAAGTAGCAGCAGAGCAGGCCCTGCTTAAATCAAGCCTTTGATCTAGTCCATTGGTATTTTTTTGCAAGACCCTCTTGCACAGCTCCATCCTCACAGGTTAGCAGATCCCTGGATACAGAGAGGACCAGTTTAAGGAAGCCACATTCCTGAGGGGCCCCATGTCCCTATGAAACATCCTGATCAGTCTGAGTTCAAACTACTCAATCAAACCAATAAAATATCAATAAAAATCAATAAAACACCAGAAATTCTTGCTACTGTGAGAAATCTTGCAAATGAATATGACAGACGACAACAAGCAAAATCATATTTAATGCATTTGATTTTAAAGCAAAATTTATTAATCTAATGCTGCATGGATGTACATATTTATGCTCTTTCTCCCCATATCCTTAATTGCTACAAGTCCTAAACCAATTCAGCTTTCTACTACATGGAGATATATTTTTCCCTATTAGACAGGATGACTGAGCAGCAAAGCACAACTTTGGCAAAGGCAGGGGAAGAAACCAGATGCAATTCCCATCTCTCTGGCCTTGCCATACAACTTTGTCAGTAAAGCTTTCAAATGAAGCTAATGTTTTCTCCAGCAAAATTTGAGAAGTGCCCTACAGAGGTTCTGTGGAGAATGGTCATCCACTTTGGAGGAGAGAAAATGCTCTGTAAGAGTATCAGCAGTTTCCTAGGTGGGTACAACACTTTCCATTTATCACTGTTTTTACTAGCATTATTGGGAACACACTCTTCCTTTCTGAATTTTATCATGATTCACTTCCTGCTGCTCTCTTGATACATACAGGAAAAGAAAGAACATGGAATTGTACCATTTGGACACAAGAATGCAAGGAAATATTAAGGAAGGTAGCCCTTAAAAATACCTGAAATGGAAACAGTCTACACCAGGCTGTTTTGATCTTTGGATTTGAGTTAAATTCTCACTGCAAATAACTTTCATGCATCTTTAATGTGATATAGTTGAAGGCTGTCACATTGGACATTAAAGTACATCACACTGAAGTCTGCAAGACCTTCAATTAAGGCTAACCTAAAGGTTTCTCACCCTGAAATGTAGATACATTTCAATCTGATTTTAATAACAGTTAATCTTTTTCATCTATACCAGCTGCATGGCCATGAATAAATAAAGACAGGTTGGAATTTCGGCAGCTGAGAAAGACTGTGACAGGAATGAAAGTTGTCTTTTCCCCTGGTAGTGTGGAAGAGCATCACAACCAACAACCCTGACCACTGTCTGGGTTCTTGGGAGGCAGAGAGCCTGTAAAAACAGAAAGACAGAGGGGAATCTCCAAAACTGCTACAAATTATCAAGTGGAAAAAATTACATAGGTCAAAGAATAGGAAGGGAATATTCTGGCAGTAGTTTGGACAGGTTTTACTCAAAAGCACTTCAGAAAACAGTATTTGAGGGCACAACAAAACCAATGTGCTTATGCTTACACAGGCATCATTTTCTGTGGACTCTCTGAATGCAGCAAGTAAAGCTCCTGTCTGTTATTGTTTGCTTTTCACAGCCTCCTGTACTCAAACCTGGCACAAAAGGATGCTCAGGAAAATAGCTGTTGAGTAATTTCAAGGCAGTATCAAACCCTTCCCAGCTATTCCAAAAGCACAGAGTGAGAGAGGACTCTGTGTCCTCTGATGCTTTTTGAGGAAGATGGAAAAATGACAATAAAGGCTTCAGTACCAAGGAATCAGCCTGTGAACACACCACTGCTGACCACTTAAACATCTCCTTACTGTTCCTCTCTCTTATGCTCACTGGCAGAAGTCTGCAATTTCCTCTAGCTGAGAAAAAAGGCAGAAAAGTGCCTGAAGACATTCTATATCCTTGTCCATGATGTCTTTTCTTGCTTATTTGAGGATATAACATCGACAACAAATAAAAATCATAAAGCAGAAGACAGCGTTCTCCTAAAAGCACTAAAGATTAAACCCACATTTAACATTTCTTCACTAACACCAGCAGTAATTAGATTTCCAAGAAGTAAAGGTACAAAAACTACCAATAGTGAATTTTCCCATGAGAAGAGCAGCTTGCAGGACAAGTACCAAAGGAAATTAATACCCAGATGAAGTCCTGATCCAATTGTTTACACTGTTTACACAACTAAAATTTGCTTTACATTAACTGTACCAACACTATAGGCAGGGACCTCCTCAGGGACAAGGGACAAACCATGGCAAACAAGACAGAAAAAAGTGGATGGTCCCCACCCCCATAAGAGGGTACAATCCCAGAACTGCTTCAGAAAGCTGTTAGTATTCCCAGCCATCCCAGACCTGGTGTTTCAAGGTGAACCAAAACCTGAGCTAATTTATCATAATATACCACTCTGCAGCAGGTTAGGGATTGATATCACAAGCCTATCAAAGTGGACACACCAAGGCACTTCAGAAAAACAGGACAGATTACAATGGCAGCAAACAACTTCAGTTATCTGACTTTTTAAACCAGCAGCACAACCTTGTCAAAAATTTAAGAGCAAGATGAACACAAGGACAGACAAGATAATATTAACTACTTTGACAGACAAATGCCTCAAAATAGTAGTGTTAAAACCACCGAGCTTTTTGTAAGCCCATCTCATGGTGGTACCCAAAGAGGAGAGTCACAGCTTCTTAAAAACACAATTCCTAAGGTGGGTGAGACTTTGTTCTTTAAGCCAGTGACACATCCTGCTTTGAAGTAAAGCAAAACCAAACACAACCACGACAGCCTGAGGGCCAGAATCTAACCCCAAATCACTGAAATTTGCATTTCTCCCTGTGTACAGTGCACAGCATCAGACACACGCCCAATGGACATTCACTGTCCTCAGCTGTCTTCCATCCTGCTTGCCAAGTTTTTCAGGATAGCTGGCCAGGGAGCTCAGCTGGACTATTACCTGCATCATACTGCTGTTCTCCATTCATCTCCACAGCAGCCTGGTGGTTGTTTTGAGCAGCCAGAAGCAGGGGAGCCCAAGGCTGTCACTGTTGGCTGGTCATGAGTCGCCTCCCGCCGTCGATCCTACTGGGAGCCAGGACATTCAAGAAGGAATCCTGGAAAACACCTGAAAAGAACAACTGGTAAGAAAATCTTTATGTGATTTTAACTATTTTTAAGATAGAATCATAGAATGGTTTGGGTTGGAAGGGACCTTAAAGCCCATCTCATTCCAACCCCCCTGCCATGAGCAGGGACACCTTCCACCCGACCAAGTTGGCTCAGAGCCCCATCCAGCCTGGCCTGGAGCACTTCCAGGGATGGGGCAGCCACTGGGCAACTTGTGCCAGTGCCTCACCATCCTCACATTTAAGAATTTCTTCCTCATACCCAATTTTCAAACCTACTCCTATGAGCTATTAAATCATGATTTCATTATGAATGGTAGAAACCGAGGAAGGAGAGGTCTAAAGTGAGCCCACTAGCTCAGTGCACTGGCAGTGAGTGCACTGCAAGTTTTCTTTCCTTACAAAATTCTCCATTAAAGCAAAGTTGTTTAGTAAATAAAAGCCTAGGTTACATGTTTATTTAATAACAACACACTTTGACTGACAACTTTATATAAATCAATGAGATGAGGCATGAAGTGGCCCTAACCCCAAGATGATTAAGTTAAATTCCTGTTAAAAAAAAAGATCATTTTAAATAGCCTTTGCATTCTTGTTGAATGTCTAGGAAGCACCTGGTTTTTTTTTTGTTTTAGGCAAGATACCAGAAATAATGTAGAGGACTAAAAATCAGCTTTTAAAAAAAACATAGGTGGCATTTCTGAGATAAACATGTTTTTAATAACTATGGTTTAAAAAAAGAAAGTCCTATACATTTGAAAAGCCTTTAATTTTGAGTTTTGTATAACTATACTGTCTATGGAAACTCTGTGATAATCCTTAGAGGTGGCATCATTCACACAAAAATAAACCAACTTGAACAGAATTAAATGTCTTACAGCAGTGCTCAGTCCTGTAGAAAGTTCTCAAGTACAACCAGAACTACAGCTGACTTCAAAAAATTTCATTACATGTGAAAATAAAATTTTTTTAGAGTAGCAAGAGTTATTATTAAGAGCTCCTACTGAATGGTAGCTTAGTGCCACAAAAATCTACTGTGTAGAAGATATTAATAAGTTTTATTCATTATAGCTCCAGGAATGTGTCTGGAAGGGAACTCAGCTGCCAGTTCCTGTGATATGCTTCTAACCTACTGCACTCCAGCTCAGAAAGACTGTGCTCAGCATGTAACTGCAAGGTCACAACTGAACTCCCAATTCAGCTCAGCCTCTGTGGGAAAGTTATGAGAAATGAAGCCCAGGTACCTCCCTCTATCAGCCTCCAGTGGTTCCTTACACACTTCCTCCATGCTCTCAGGACAAAGCAGTGCAGGACAAGATAATGCAAGCACATGTTCCCAGCCTACCCTCTCTCAAGACTTTCCTCCTACAGACAGACCGAGTTTCCATTTTTCCACCTTCTATAAAGTAATGCTGGAAGATGATGTCACTGGCAACCTGCACGATGCTTGGCACACAGGGAAGAACCAACAAAACACTTTAGAATCATATAATCATTAATCAAAATACTCCTTGCTAATGCCCTATCCTAAGTGTATCAGCTGTCACAGTGCTAAGCCAAAACAAAGGCAGCGCTGTGAAAAATGCCAAGCAAAGCACGTAGTCCAACAAATCTGGGGATGTGCCACTGGTTTCTAACAGTGAAGCCCTGGCAAAGTACCCTCAGAATTAATTGCAATTAAGCTATTTTCAGTTCATGGGATTCAGCTCTCAATTAGTGTCTATAACTAAAGCAACATGAAAATATTTAAGACACCCCTTCCCCCCAAAAAAAACCCCCACCCCAAACTGTTGATTTAGAAGATGCCAAATACTGGCAGCTCCTGTTGAAGTTGATTGATATTCTGCCCAAGTCAAGTTGGGGAGTTATTCAGGATTTCATAAGCAGCTCTGGTGTTTTCTGTACACAAAATTGAGAGTACTTGTAATTAGCCCCCGCCAGGGCTGTGCCTACAGTCTGGCACCCCAAAGATTATCTTTTGATAAATCTCGAGGGAAGGGGAGCACAAGTGCTGCTGGAACAGAGCTGATTTGGAAATACTTTGGACTCTTCAGTCTCACTTCTGCATTTCAAATCTCCTTTCAGCACATGAAATATTCAGATGTTAGCAACTGGAGGCAGCATTAAAAACAGTTACAGTTCATTAAAGCCAGATGGCTCACTTGAATATGAAAAGAAATCAAACATAAGTTGGATGTTGAATTAAAGTAAATCAGCTGGTGTCTGAGGCTTAATATTATTTTAAAACAAAGGCACAGGAGACAACGGGGACAGGAGACACCCCTAAGGACTGGGGAAGAAGCTACAAAAAGGATCAAGTTTCAGTGAATTCCTTCATGCCAGGCATCCAGTAAAATCTACTTTGGCCCCCTGTGTCTACTATAGAGAGCTTCACTCTGCCCAAGCAGGCAGGAAACCTGTTGCAGGTCTGCCAGGGCAGGGAAGGGGTTCCTCAGCACCTGAAAGCTGCAGCTCTGCTTCTGAACACTGAGATAAATCTACTGCTAAAGCAACAAGGAAAGTAAAGGTCCTTTTGTTTTTCTTGGACCATACCCTGGAGGTGGGAATAGAGGGTCTAACTGTCCTCCTGGTCCCTAAGCCCATTCACACATATACCTGTGCTTTTTCACTTCAAGGAAATACTAATTATGTGTTCCCTAGGAGGGGAGACGGCTCCCTGCACTTCATTCAAAGACTTTTTGTAACAAATCTTTTATTGGAGGTTTCACAGCTATGACACAGACAGTGCCCTGTTCAGCACCTCTTCTAATTAGGTCCAGTGTTTGCAGTGGAAATTCTTGTTGTCATTTCAAAGAAATCTATTCAGGACAAAAGCACCCCTCTACTACAGACTCCTGCCTGGAAAAAAAAAATTCAGGAAGAACAATGAGAAGTACAAAGCTGGTACAGATGAGCACCCAGCAGTAGCAGCAGCAACCCTTTCCCAGCACACACTTACCCAGTGACCCCTTCAGTGAATATTCCCAATGCCTCTTACTCAGGCACAAGCTCATCATAAAAGCTCTTCTGCAGTTAAGATCTAAAACTCTTATGACAAAATTAGCTGAGAGACTTTTCCTTCACAGAGAAGGGACTGTACCAACACTCCATCCCAGAGGGCCAAATCCTGCTGCTGCACTGACTGGGGCTCCAAACCACAGGGCAGAGATCTCCCCCAGCCTTATTCCTGATGCTGCCACATGTAACCTCAGCTACAACCTGCTGCCAGTCCCAGGTGCTCACCTGCCCTCTGCTTGTACTAGTACTGCAGAAATCAGCAATTTCCACAGCCTGCAAAAGACAACTTCCAGCTTATTTTTTAACCTTTTTCCTAACCTAACACACTGCAGTCAATCATGAATACAGGTCTCAGCTGCCCTTTTTGCTACAAGAAGGTGAGACAGTGGCTCCAGGGCAGAAGGGGGCACGTTCAAATCAAGATTTGTATGTGACTGGGCACTTGCAGGCCATGCACCTTATCAATGTACAAGCAGATCTAAGGTAGCTGAAATGCAGTTGCACAGGTCCTTTACCAGAGGAGAAAAGCCAGGTGGAGAACATCAGCCCTTTGGAAAACACATCTGCACCCTCTCAGAGGACAAAGAGACTCCACCCAGCCTGACTGAGACTCTGCCAACTTGTCACTGATGGAAGTAAAAAAATGGAAAGGACCTTTTGGGATGACAACTTAAGTTGAAGTATGCTAAATATCAGTAGAGTTTAGTAAAAAAAAAATAATTCTGTAGCACAACCAGAACTCAATAAACTACTCAGGTAGGAGCCAACTTAATTTTAGGTTTGACTTACAAGTTCATACTTGATTCCTCATAAATGTTTTTGTGTAATCCATTCCAGGTATACTGGTGATTTTTGTATCACAGCAATTGGGAGTACTCTTACTTAGTGTTTTCAGCACAAAACAAGTAAGATACAGTGCAAATTTCTCAATCAGAACCAAAATCAACAGTGCTAGAGAAAATTAACTTTCAAGCTATTCAGTGTGAGTTTCATTCACTCTTTTGTAGCAATGCACTCACAGTACAGAAACAGCCAAACCCCCACATTAGTCAGTACATTTCCTCAAACAGCCACATCCTTTTGGGGGAAAATGTCAGAGATTCTGGCTAAGCACTGCTGCCAACTCAGTGGAAGGATACAGCTGATTACTTGCTACAGCAAATCAGCAACCCCCTCCATCAGGGCACAAGAGCAGATATTTGCCTCCTTTGAAAAAAACCTCACCCTTGAAATCAGCACTGACAGAGCCAAAAGCAAACAAATATTCAGCGTTTGGTGTAAGAAATCTTTAGTATCTGTGATGGAACTGTTTCAGACTCAGATCAGCAAGTGTCTGCGTGGTCACTCCTGCTGCACTCGGAGCAGCAGCTCACCAAAGCCCCACAAAGCTGCAGGAGCTGTGAGACACCAACACAGGGGCGTGGAAGCCACCAAGGCTTTGCCCACCTGAGGATTTCTTAACTCCAGTCACACAGTGCAGGAGCAGGGTACTCACAAATCCAGGCTCTGTCTGATCTGCCACATGGAGTACAACTCTCATTTCTCAGGTTTTGCAATTCAACAACCACAGCAATGCTCCTCTTAGGGTCCACTAACTCTTCTTCCTCACCCACAGCACCAGAAGGCCAGTAGACAGCTGTCAAACATCACATCTGAATTATTTTCTTGGGAAGTAAAGTATTGTAGACACCTACATCTATGCCCTTCCCTCTTGCCCCAGCCCCATCATTCTCCCTCCTGCTGGGACCCTCAGTAGAGGTCCCACTTCTCCAAGAAAGGGTCTCCACACTCCTGTATTTCATGCAAGCTCCTTGTTCTCTAAGGCTTTTAGAGTGAAAATAGGGTTTAAGACCTTTCTTGTAATTTTCTCCTCTCTTATTTAGTCACTAACAGCTGGGAGCCTGGATAACACTTTAGATATTTTCTAACTTTCAGTTGCATAAACAAAGTAAGTATTTCACAAGCCTTCCCAGTACCTGAC